CCTTCCTTCCTTCCTTCCTTCCTTCCTTCCTTCCTTCCTTCCTTCCTCCTCTTTTAGAAATCTGAGGGCCCTGTTGAGATATGATGCATCTGACATCTTCATTTCTCCAGAAGACCTCTAGATGGAAGAGGTTCATAGGTGGAAAGAGATGCCATGTCTAAGAGTTTGTGTCACTGAAAAATTTTAGTGCACTCCCTCTAAAATACACAACTATATTTTTGTGATGGAAACAATAGGAATAGTCATATTTAAATGTTAAATATGGTATACAGGAGTATATTATTGTTGTTGTTGTTATTATTATTATTATTATTTTTTCCCTCCCCCCTCACTTTGTAAGATGCATTTTTGTCAACTCAATCCAGTGAATTTATTTAATACTCCTGCCTCCTATTTCCCCCCCACAACAGTAACCTTGTGAGGTAGGCTGAACTTAGAAAGAACTCAAAGTCTCCCAGCATGTCCCCGTCAGGACTAAAACTCAGTCTCCTGGATTCTAGGCCTCTCCTTAACCACTACACCATGCTGGCTCAATTCCAAATATATCAATTCAATTTAATTAATTTAGGATCCAATCTGGGCCGGTCACTGGGATCAGAGGTTACCCCTTCTGAGCTTTCAGACTCGTGCTGAACCCCATGTTCAGGGAACTTGAAGGCTAGGGAGAAGTTTCCTGAAGATGGGTGCCAGCATGAGTCCAAAAACTTGGAAGACGAAACCTTCAGTCCCAGTGACTGGCCCAGATTGGATCCCGCAACATTATCCTGGGACACCTATATTTGTCTTCATTCTATTAATTAATTTAAATATTCCAACACTATTTCATTAATTCAATGTAATGTTGATACTAATTGATTACAGATTAATCAATTGGTAGGATTTTGTTGCTATTCTTGTCCTACACACTTCTTTGTCTCAGTATTGTCTCTTTTTGAAGTTTATCCCTCTGTTGCTTGACCTCCTCACACATACATTCATCCATCCATCCATCCATTCATCAGGCTGGGCTGAGGGACATACTTATCCTTTGACACTGCATTCCTGTCTTAGAAAAAGCAACCTTTGGTATTTGATGCCTGAAGGATTTGCTAAAGGGCTAGATGCCAGGTTTGTAAGCATTTCATTGGAGACTTTAGGTGTAGCTAACAATAGCACTTAGCATAGCACTTAGACTTATATACCGCTTCACAGAGCTTTACAGCCCTCTCTAAGAGGTTTATAGAGTTGGCCTATTGCCCGCAACAATCAGGGTCCTCATTTTACCCATCTCGGAAGGATGGAAGGCTGAGTCAACCTTGAGTTGATGAGACCCGAACTGCCAAATTGCAGGCAGCCGGCAGTCAGCAGAAGTAGCCTGCAGTACTGCATTCTAACCACTGCACCACCGCAGCCCAGTTTGATGAATGGATGGATGAATGAATGAATGTGTGAGGAGGTCAAGCAACAGAAGGATAAACTTCAAAAAGAGACAATACTAAGATAAAGAAGTGTGTAGGACAAGAACAGCTCCTTGCAGTCAGGGGAGAGTTGTATTTTGTGCATGAGCAAAGAGGGCAGACATACAGTACGCACACATAACTTTGGGTTCCAGCTTTTCTGCAATGGGCTTGGTTGTAACAGAATTGATTTTCCCAATTTTTATAGGAACCACAAGAGTTCCCAAGATTGAGACCTCATCCTAACCTCTGTGTGCAGGTAGGAACAGAAAAATTGAGAAAAAATGGGCAACCATACTTTAAGTTTCCAAGGATCCTCCACGGGGCTGGATTATTTTAGCAGACATCAAAAGTCAAAAAGAGATTCTCTCATTGCTCCAAAATGGAGTTCAGACTGATTAACAGTGGGGAGAGGGAGGACTTCAGTGACTTTTTGCTTCTTGGAGCTGCTGTTGTGATTTTACTGAGCTTCATCCACCCTGTGTAGCTAGATCTATCTCTTAGATCACGGTTAACAACTTTGGCAATTTAAAGATGGCAGGAGGGCTGGGGAATTCTTGGAGTTGAAGTTCACACATTTTAAAGTTGCCAAGGTTGAAAAACCCTTGTCTAGATGCATAAGGTGAAACTGCCTACGGTTTCCCAAGCAAATGCCTAAGTCACATAAAATAACCATCACCACTTGAGAGTCTGTTTTACCAGCTTGCAGCAAAATCACATTTTATATACAAATAAGACAGAGTATAATCCAACTCCAAATTAAGGTCTCTGTTGTTTTATTGACTTCCACAGAAAAATTACGTCTAGAGCAGGGGTGTCCAACCTTTCACCTTCCCTGGGCCACATTAGAAGATGAAAATTTGGTTTGGGCCGCACATAAAATAAAATAACAGTAACGATACCTGATCATCCAAAAAAACCATAGAAAACATAGTTAACATATTAAATTTATTTGGAAATAAAGTTAGTGAGATGTTTTTATTATTTATTATTAATTATTTATTAAAATTATTTATTTTTTATCACGTTTTTTTTATCACGGTTTTTTTTATCACGGTTTATTTTCCAGCCAAATTTTGCAGGGTGGGGGAGAAAGCTCGCCCGCCTCGCGCCTACCTCTCCTCCTGCAAATGGCCTGGCTGGATGAGGCAGGACTAGAAGGCAGAAGCAGCAGCAGCGGCAGGGGCAGAAACGGCAGCGGGGGCAGAAGCAGCAGCAGCGGCGGGGGCAGAAGCGGCAGTGGTGGCGGCGGGGACAGAAGCGGCGGCGGGGGCAGAAGCGGCAGCAGGGGCAGCGGCGGCGGGGGCAGAAGCAGCAGCGGTGGCGGGGGAAGAAGCAGCGGCAGTGGGGGCAGAAGGGACAGTGACAGCGGGGGCAGAAGGGGCGGCGGGGGCAGAAGCGGCAGAAGTGGCAGGGGCAGAAGCGGCGGCAGTGGCGGAGGCAGAAGCGGCAGCGATGGCGGGGGCAGAAGTGGAAGCAGGGGCAGAAGCGGTGGCGGGGGCAGCGGCGGCAACAGCAGGAGGTGGCGCTCTGATGGCGCCCGCCTTTTCTGTTGCTGCTTGGCCTGGCGCTCGCCTCACGCCTGCCTCACGCCTGCCTCTCCTCCTCCTTCTCGCTGGCTCTGGCACGAAGGTTGGGGTGGGCACTGGGCCGCATTACGAGGCGACCTGGGCCGCATGCGGCCCGCGGGCCGCGGGTTGGACAAGTCTGATCTAGGGACACTTTTCTTCCAATTTATTTCCGCATTGCACTTCCATAAGTGTCTATCCAGATTTGAACCTGGGCAAGAAAGCCACATATTATTATTAAATAGAAATGATTCTCTTATGTGATTATGTGATAAGTGATGGGGCACATGGTTAGGATGCTGGGTTCATATTCAGCAAGCTTGTGTGCGAGGCCTAAGTGCTGTTCCTTGACAGGGTGAGCTCCTGTGACTCACTCCAGCTCCTGCCAACCTAGCAGTTTGAAAGTGAGGAATCATGAGTAGATACGGTATTAGGTACCACTTCAATGGGCACATTAATGGAGAAATGAAAGGAACCTTAAACTGGGATCCCCTGGGCATCAGTGATGTTACCAGCTAATCCTTTCAGCACGGAAGCACTTCAATGCTTCCACCACAAATCATGAATGTGATCATGATAATCTCCTCAGATTCCAGCAATCCAATTTTTTCCTCTTTGTACAGGTAAGAAGGAATGGAAGCACCTACCTCCAAAGCTGCCTGCAGGATGGTGAGTGCCAATGTAGATGCATGCCAGACTGTCCCCACAATTAGCAGTTATGTTTATTCTGCAACATTTATTTTGGCTCCAAAAGTGGTTCCAGGAAGCTCTTTAAGTGGGGAATGGCTAGAAGGCCACAATGCAACTGTGATGCATTGTGGTGCACTGTGGTGCACCAGAATATATAACAATACATATAGTTGAAAAATATCCCCTCAGGAAATTTCAAGGTACCTGGGATGATTTCATCCCAGCCCCACCACAAGTAGTTAAATGGTAGGCTTCCTTTGATATCAGATTATAACATCTCTCCCATTGCAATTCTTATGGCTCCATATTATGGTGATTTTATTGTGGTTTTCTCATGGATTAATATTTTATCTCATGTATTTTTATTGTCCGCATACATTTTATTTATTTTTATATATACTCTGTGCGTGTGTGCGTGCGTGTGTGTGTGTGTGTGTGTGTGTGTGTGTATGATCATATACATATTAATGATTGCATGATCTCTGTAGATGCTATATGCTAAACAAATAAATAAGTGGTTCCAGGATATGAAATATGAAAATCAGTCATGAGACTTATTTCAGAGATTAAAAAATATTGTGGAAAATGAAATAGAGGAAGCAGGGGCTGGGGGGGGGGGGGGGGGAGAGAAAGCAGACTCAAAAATTGGCTTTGGGATCCTGCCTGTGGTCAGGATGAATCTTTACCCTTGGCCAAGATTCTAATTTGGACACAACTTTTTGCACACCTTTGCTGTTCCTTTTTATTCAGCAATCGATTTGCCCCATGCAAAGAGCCCAATGGAGATGAGCGTTAGGAAGGGAGTCTCCCACAGCCATTTGAAGGGGTTTCTGCCCTACTCTTTCCTCTTAGAGAAGCATTAATGCCACTGTTAAGTCTGGTAGATCGGTCCCGGGTAGATCAGGTCGCATTGAGAGGTGAGACTCAAAGTGCACATTCAGCTCTCTATTGAATATACAGTTCAGTTCAAGACCTGCGAGCCGCTTGGCTTTATTCAGCCGGCCGGCAGCTCAGCGGCCAATGGCAGCGCTTTGAATCTCCCACGATCGGCTCGGCCAATCACGGTAGATTCTTAGCGCACCAATCACAGGAGTTTAGTTAGCCAATCAAGTTGCGGTCCGTATGGACCAATCAGGATTCAGGGTTTCAAGAATGTTAATATAGAACAGCCACAGTTCTCTCTCCCCTCATTTTACGCACAAAGGAAGGCATGCTGGCATGCTGGAAAGGGTGAAGGGCTTGCAACGAATGGCTGTGATAACAGGAGTGTTCTTTTTTGTATGATGCACAGGCCTGTCACATGAGACACAAGCAGTGTTTTGAGTTCAAAAAGAGAGGGCACTGGAATGCAAAGCTTTCTCAAAATCTACCATTCCTGGTTCCAAAGATGCTTAGGAAAAATAGAGTCTCACCAAGAATCCTGTTTGGTTTAAAACAGGGATGGGCAAACTATGGCCCACGGGCCACATCCGGCCCATTGGTCATTTTAATATGGCCCACCTCTGAAAAAAAAATTCCCCTCTGCAAAAAAAATTGGGGCCGGCTAAAAGAGACCCCGCGCCATGCGCCATAAAATCGCACACACAACACGGAGCTGGGCAGCCGCTTCCCTGGTGGCGGGGCCGAGGTCGCCGCCCAGGGAACGCCCATTGCTTTCCCTCCGCCCGGGCTCCGTTCAGGTGTCCGGCTGGGGCTGTCAGGAGTTGCTACCGCGGGCGCAGCTCTGCGCGGCTCCAGTCCCGCGTTGCCTTGGGAAGGGAAAGGCAAAACCAGAAGCCGCTGAGCCTGAGCCTCCGGTGCCGCTGCTGCCGTTGCAAAGCGCCACCGCGGCTCTTCCTTTTTGCCTTTCCCTTCCCGAGGCAACGTGGGACTGGAGCCGCGTGGAGCTGCGCCGGCGATAGCAACTCCTAACTCAGGGGGCCTCCGAGGGGAGGGGAAGGAGGAGAAGAAGGGAGGGAAGGGGGGGGCAATTCCCCAAAAATCTTGTGCTGACCCAGCCCGTCTGTCAAATTTTAAAAGTCAATGTGGCCCCCGATCCAAAAGGTTTGCCCACCCCTGGTTTAAAATGTCTCTGAATGCAAGAACTGCATCTAAATCCATGAGATCAGTCGTTTATGCTGCTTTTCTTTTCTCCTAGATGTCCCAAAAAGTCAGCAATACCTACTGTTTCAGGAGATTCGGGATACCCAGGGAAATCTGTTAGTTCAAATTATGGAGCAAGGCACCTGGGTCTCCCCTGCTCAAGTCTCCAATACAGTAAGGCCTTTCTCCAGCCTTTCTCTTCCTCCTTCTGTCAGTCTGAATCTTATTGCAGTGGGAAATCCAGTACTCCTTTCATTCCCCCCACCCCTTTCCTTCTTTACAGAGAAGAAGGAGGTTGGAGGAAGACCTGAGGAAGAGTATGCAGTTAGGGAAATGCACAGAGGTGAGTACTAAAACAATGGCTGGAAGCAGTGGTGGAATTCAATTTTTTTTACTACTGGTTCTGTGGCTTGGTGGGTGTGGTGCAGTGGGCATGGCGTGGTGGGCATGGCAGGGGAAGGTTACTGCAAAATCCCCATTCCCTCCCCCCCCCCACTAACCTGCTTTCCAGCTCCGTTCTCCTGGGCAGGGCAACCAAAGAAGACCCAGCCAATCAGCTGGGACTCGGGAGGCAGAGAATAGATGGGGGCGGGGCCAATCAGAGGTGGTATTTGCCGGTTCTCCAAACTACTCAAAATGTCCACTACTGGTTCTCCAGAACTGGTCAGAACCTGCTGAATACCACCTCTGATCTGGAAGTCTTTATAGCGGGACACTATGATCCAGAAGGAGGAAGTGAACAATAGATAGGACGTACTTGCTTTTATATAATGCGTGCCAATAAATCCTTTGTCTTATGTGGCGCTTGACAGGTGAATATTTTTACTAGACAGTTCTTCTTTGATGTTTTCTACAGGTGTGGCAAGAAGAAGGGACCAATGCTACTATATTCTGGGCATGTTCAGTGGAGCATTGTGAGTGTCTTGTCTTTGAGATTAAAGACTAGGAATGCTACTTAGAAACCCACCACATCAAAAAACTAGAGTAGCAGTTACATAGAAAATGATTGGATTGCTAAGTCAGTGGTGGGATTCAAAAAAATTTACTACCGGTTTGGTGGGCGTGGCAGGGGAAGGATGCGGTAAAATCTCCATTCCCTCCCCACCCCACTAACCTGCTTTCCAGCTCCGTTCTCCTGTGCAGGGCAACCAAAGAAGACCCAGCTGATCAGCTGGGACTCAGGAGGCGGAGCATAGATGGGGGCAGGGCCAATCAGAGGTGGGATTTTGTTTGCCGGTTCTCTGAACTACTCAAATTTTCTGCTACGGGTTCTCCAGAACTGGTCAGAACCTGCTGAATACCACCTCTGGATTGCTTAGTATATGCTGGGCAAAACTCCCAGCCTGATTGCTGTCTGGGGGAAGAAACAGATCTCCACTGTTTTCCATAAAGCTAGGAAGGCCGAGGCCCTCTGGATTTTGAGGGAAGAGTCTTCCCTGGAGCAGATGCTGCTATGAAGAAAGCCTATCAAATAACAATGTTGAATGGAGAAGACCCAAAATACACTCACCCTATCTGATTTAGTAGGACCCTCTCCCTTGGGGAGAGGTGATATCTCAAATAACCCTGCCCCATGCCACACAGGGCTTTGAAAATGAAAACCAACACCTTGAATTGCAACCAGAAGCAAATTGGGAGCCCACAGGGGTGAAACATGGGCATCTAAAACTTCATGTATTGTGCAAGGTTTCCAAAACTGCCGAAACTTCTAGGTGATCTCCAACAACAGCCCCACATAGAGTGCATTGCAGTTGTCCGGTGAGGAAGTGACTAAGAAATCAGTGACTATGAACTGGGCCTCCTGACGCAGGAATGGGCCCCAATGACAAAAATACATTTATGAAAAGCCACAGCTGCCACCTTGCCTCCAACAGCAGCTGCAAATCTAGTACGATTCTCCAAATTGTGTATTAACTGTTTTGGGGGAAACAAGTTAAAGATGGCATCTCTCCTAGTCCCGGACACTTAAAGAAGTCTACCTTAAAGTGAAGCCAGGACTATCTGCCCAAGACTTTGCCTTCAGCCTTAGCCAATGGGAAAATGTCAGGAATAGAAAGGGGTGGGCTGTGCAAATTGGGCTGGGACTAATTTCATCCACAGTACGGTACTGAATTCCTGCTCTCTGTACTTTGATGCAGATCCCCGGACCTACTGGGTACTGATCTGGTTGGTCACCCTCCTAGGTAGCTGCTGTGTTCTACTCATGCTCCTGTTCAAGAAAGAAGCTGTAAAAGGTATCCTCTTTGTTTCTCAACCACCAAATCTACTCCTATGCTGCCATACTCAATGAGTATTGCCTCGGTTACTTATTCCCTTCCTCTTTTCATGACCCCCTTCATCCTAGCCTTGGCTAAGAATCCTGCCATGTCTCTAATTCATTTGCCTCCCTTAACTTAGGATTTTGCCTTCCACTGTGTTTCCATGATTGTTTTTCTACTGCCTTTCACGCGTTACGTTTCTGCCCAAGCAGTTGTACTGACTGCTATTTGGTAATCAAGCCAAGTTCAAAGATTCGCTTTGGTTCAAAGATCCTCAAAAACTGGCACTACGGCGGCCCTGTCATTAACAGCAACCTCAGTGTGAGTTCCTCAGGGGGTCTGTGAATTTGCCAGCCTATGTTGAAAAATAATACTACTAAAATCCCATCAAATGATCATGAGAAATAATAGTGGCTGCATCAATTTTAATTTTTAATAGAGTAAATAGAGAGAGAGTGTGTGTGCCAGCCTAGTTTAGTGGTTAAGGCATCAGGATAGAAACCAGGAGATGGCGAGTTCTAGCCTCACCTTAGCCACAAAGCCAGCTGGGTGACCTTGGGCCAGTCCCTCTCTCTTAACCCTAAAAAAAAGGCGGCAAGAGAAAACCACTTCTGAAATCTTGCTGAGAAAACTACAGAGACTAGTCCAGGCATTTGTCAGGAGTCAACAATGACTTGAAGGCATCAAAAATGTGCTTTATGGATTCTGACACTTTGACTGGATATGCTAACGGTTTCCATCTCACTCATTTATTCCAGCGACTTCTCTTTCTTCCACATGTTCTTTCCCCTTGGTTTTCCCCCAGGTGATCTTCTTCCTTTCTGATCACCCATCTACATTTTCCTCCAAAGAATCTTAAGGCAGAAGAGGAAGAACAAGAGAATCATCTCTTGGTTTTATTCTGGTGGACCTTTTCTTTCTTCTAGAGGCCGGATTCCCACAAAACCAAATCTCACAAATCTCTCTTTCTCCTTTGCTCTCTTTAGCTTTTAATTTCTGCTCTGAATGGAGTTCACAGGCTTGTTCCTATTTAATTATTCTTTCATTCTCATTGTGCTGATCAGACAGTATATAGTTGATTGGGAATTTTGGAGCTGTCCCCTTAAGGGAATGCCTCATGGGAAACGTAGTTAATGCCTTATGGGAAATGTAGTCCATGTCAGTTATCACATCTGTAATCCTGATTGGTCACTGAATTGACCCTTGGTTGGGTCAATTTTATTCTTGCTTGGATCCCAGCATCGTGCTGGTGTCTTTCCCTTTGCTCCATTGTTATGGGGTGAAGATAATTGTATTTTCACACTATGAAGACGACTATGCAAAGATTGGACATTGGATGAATCTCAACCTAACTGTGAGTTATACCTTGAGGATGCCTATTACAATCCAATAAAGAAACTTTGTATGGAAGCTTTTGTAGAGTTTATCTTACTGTCTTTATATTCAACCAGAAAGTTAAGTTAAAGACAGAATACTCACTCAACGCATTCAAGTTTAAGTTCAATATGGTGGAAGAGCTGTGGATCATCTGTGCATTTGCATATGAAGTCATGGTGGCTTTTTCTGGCTGTTTATTCAGACCCTTGGGATACGTACATTTGTTGTGCGATTGAAGAGGAGGAAGGGAAGGATCTGCCCTACCAAACACACTAGATCTGACAATGAGTGGGCTTCCACACACACACACACACACACACACACACATACACACAAATCCCATTCATATATTTTTTTTATATTTACAGGCTGGTTCAAGATCCTGAAAGAAGATTACAGTTCCAGAGGTAAAGGCAACAGAGGGTCTTGTAGAATTTAGAAGATAATCTATGCCAATAATTCTTCTTTGGGGAATCTCCTGTCATCCCTCTCTTGAATCCCCAAATCCTTCTGTATCTTTTCTAATCCTCAGCTTTTCATTTCTGTCCAGAAATGGAATTTACTGTTGTGGAATGTAGTCTGGATTCCCAGAAAGGAAGGGTTGCATTCCAAAGGAGCAAGAGACAGCGAAGTTTAGATAGTTTGGTTGGGAGGAAGAAGGTCAAGAAAGCTCCTTCGCAGGAGTTCTTGAAGAATATCTTTAGTGATGCAAGTAATTTTGTTTTAGTTTGACAAGATTGATGTTGGGATCCAAAACTGAAGAAGGATATGTCGAGTTACTCAAGAGCAGTTTCCCTTATTGTTCCTCACCTACAGACAGAAATCTTTCCAAGCTAAAGTTCCAGGAGACGGTCGGAATCCCAGAAGTGGGATGAGAGGAAATCCCTGATCAATACACATTGTTACAAGCAATTTTCTAGGCCCATAACTTCCTATCTGTGAATGGGAAAATGTCACTTCTAAGTAGTAAATGCCTCTTTGGGGATCAGTGCTATGTGCTTGGAAGAGAAGTCTGTGTTCTCAGTGGACGTCATTCTGGTCTCACTCCTCCTTCCTTCTTATAGCAGTTTGTCAGTGTGATCAGGGGGAAAAAATGTCTATATATATATTACTCCAGTCACTAGCATTGGAATCTGAATGCCAATAGACGTTTGTTAATATGCTGAGCACAGTAACAAGGGGTCCTTGGTGCTCTCTGAGCTTCATTGTTTTCTTGCATACATTTCATTCAGTTTCTTGATGATGTTACCTAGTTTGATAATGAAACATCTGCAAGAAAACAACCAAGCTCAGACAACACCAAGACTCCACAGTTCAGCCCTGAGCTGCAAATATTCTCTTCTATTGGTAAAGTAAAAAAGACAATTCTACCAAATGCAAAGGTAATCCTTGTTTAATAACCATTCATTCAGTGACCACTTGAAATTATGAAAGCACTTAGACTGATTCTCAAAGTAATGGCCATTATAGCATCCCACAGTCAAACGATCACAATTACTGATGCTCCCTGATGGTTTTCAACAAGCAAAGTCGATTGGGAAGGTGGCAGGAAGTTGCACATCGTCATGGTCATATGAGGTCCTTGCGTATTGTGAGTCACTTAACAAAAGCAACTAGAAGTGCTGGAACTGCAATTGTAAGCCAACGAAATCATGTGGTTTTTCTATTTACAATTGCGTTACTTAGCAATGGGATTTCTGATCCTATACTTTATTTATTTTATTTATTTATTTTATTTGTCAGTTGCTTACAAGATAATAGTTATAAGTTTTATTTATTTTTATTTATTTATTTTATTTGGTTTGTCAATTGCTTACAAGATAACAGGTATAAGTAAAAATGTAGTTATGAATACATGGATACATATAAGAAAAATAAAAGAAACAATAGGACAGGGACAGTAGGCACGTTGGTGCACTTATGCATGCCCACTACAGACCTCTTAGGAATGGGGTGAGGTCAATAGTAGACAGTCTAAGGTTAAAGTTTTTGGGGTTTGGGGAAAAAAACCACAGAGTCAGGTAGAGTATTCCAGACATTGACCACTCTGTTGCTGAAGTCGTATTTCCTGCAATCAAGTTTGGTGCGGTTAACCTTGAGTTTGTATCTATTGTTTGCTCTTGTATTGTTATGGTTGAAGCTGAAGTATTCATTGACAGGTAGGACATTGCAATATATAATTTTATGTACTACACTTAGATCAGACCGAAGGCGGCGTAGTTCTAGGTTTTCTAGGTCTAGAATTTCAAGTCTGGTGGCATAAGGTATTCTGCAATGAGTAGAGGAGTGGAGAACTCTTCTTGTGAAATATTCTGGACTTTCTCAACTGTGTTAATATCAGATACATAATGTGGGTTCCAGATTGATGAGCTGTATTTGTATGTATTTTGTATGCTCTAGTTAGTAGTGTAATATTACCAGAGAAAAAGCTACGCAGGATTAGGTTAACAACTCTTAATGCCTTCTTGGCTATGTAGTTACAGTGGGCTCTAGCACTTAGATCATTAGAGATGAGTACTCCAAGGTTCTTGACAGAGTTTGGATCATCAACAAGGTCTTGACTATTCAGCCTGTATTTTATTTTCTGATTTTTTTTGCCAATATGTAAGACAGAGCATTTGTTTGTTGAGATTTGAAGATGCCATTTGTTTGACCATTCTGATACATAGTCAAGGTCTTTTTGAAGGGTAGCAGTATTGTCTCTGTGTTGAATAGCTTTACATCGTCAGTGAAGAGGACGCAGTTGCTCTTAATATGATCACAAAGGTCATTATGTAGAGTATGAAGAGAGTTGCTTCTAGAACACTGCCTTGGGGGAGACTGTTGACAGGTACAGAATTTGATAGGACGCTCCCAATTTTGACCGTTTGTTGTCTGTTTGACAGGAATGCTTCTATCCAGTTATGCAGGTGTCCAGAGATACCGTAAGATTTTAGTTTTAGGAGTAGTTTGTTGTGTACCACTGAATCAAAGGCTTTACAGAAGTCTATGTAGATTGCATCTATTGCTTTGCCCTGATCAAGTTGTGTAGTCCATATGTTTTTGCAGTGTAAGAGTTGCAGTTTGCAGGATAGTTTTTTTCTGAAACCAAATTGTTTATTAGAGAGTAGGTTGTTTGTCTCTAAGTGGAGGATAATGGATTGGTTAGTAATTGATTCCATGACTTTACAGGTGACACAGCATAAAGAGTAATTTTCAACTAGGCTGGGGTCTCCCTTTTTGAAGATGGGGATGGCCTTGGCTTGTGACCATAGGTTTGGCAAGGAGCTGGTCCTGAAAGATTTTTCAAAGATTATGTTTAGAGGTTTGGCTATGGCAGTGGATAGCTTTTTTAAGAAGTAGGCACATATTCCATCTGGTCCAATAGATAGAGATGGTTTTAGATTGCGTAGTGCTTTTTCAACATTGTCTTCTGTAAAATCGATATGTATTAGATCATTGTAGTTTTCTGTGGTTCGACTAGGAAATACTGGGCATGATCCATTGCTGTTTACAAATACTGAGCCTAAGAATGTGTTAAAGAGGTTGGCTTTAATGGTGTCGTTGCTGCGGTCTTTACCATTAGGTCCTTTCATGGGTGGGATGGACCTTGAGTCTTTTAGTTTGTTGTTTACAAAATTGTAGAAAGCAGGGATGGAATTGGTGCTTAGAAGGTTTTCCTCTTGTTTAATGTGAGAATTGGTGCATTCAGTCTTTATCTGGTGGCATAAATTTTTGTATCAGCTTTTGAAGTTGGCAACGTGACCAGATTTGTTTTTCCACCAAAGTGATCTCTTTTTGGATTGAAGCTTCCTTATTGTTATGGGTAATCCGTTTTTTGTAGCTTTTGGAGTTGTTTTTGGTACATATAGTTTGATGACTCTTTTGACTTCAAAAGATATAAACATAGTTATGAATACATGGATACTTATAAGAAAATAAAAGAAACAATAGGACAGAGACGGTGGGCACTTTGGTGCGCTTATGCAAGCCCCCTACAGACCTCGTAAGAAAGGGGTGAGGTCATCCTCGTTAAACAAAGTGTTCTGTATCCTGTATAGATGCAGATAAATAAATTCCACAAAACATCCATAACAAAGTACTTTTATTGGTTCGTCAGGTATCCTCATAACTCACATTTGTGATGAAGTTTTTCTTTAATGACCAATTCTTTGCATATCTGTCTTGTAGCGATAGAAGTAGAACAATTACCACGAGTCCATGAGTTCAGCCAAGAGCAAGGAAAACTCCCCCAACCCCTCGAGGGTCAATTTAGTGACCAATTAGGATTACAGATGTGGTCAGGTGACATGGACTACATTTCCCAGGATACCTTAACTACATTTACCATGATGCATTCCCTTAAGGGGACAGCTCACAATTGCTATCTAACTATTCAGTTCCCATACACTGGCTGGACAGCATACAAAGACTACCTGTACTCTCTTTAATTTTTTTTTGAGAAGAGGCAGAAGGCACAGGTGTTCAGCATAGCTGTAAGTGGAAGGGATGCCGTATTCAGTTACCAGCCAAAAAGCAAGCACTGATTAGCTAAAGTGACTTTGGTGCTGAATTGTGGCTTAGAAAGAGCAAGTATAAATTAGCTGGTGCTTCCCAAACATGCTGGACTTTCATACATACATATCCAGGGATGGGATTCAAACATCCCAGCAACCAACTGGCTGCCTGGTTGCTGGGTGGGCGTGGCCATGGTGGGCGTGGCCTACTGGAACTTCCGGGGGGGGGCATTTTTTGTCTTCCCCTCAGGGTCTGGAGGCTTCCCTTGGGCCTCTGGAAGGGTGAAAACTGCCTCCCCCAGGATCCGGAGACCCTCCAGAAGCCAGAAACAGGCCCGTTTCCAGACTTCCGGAAGGCCCATTTTTCTCCATCCCAGAGCCTCTGCATGGACCCTGCACTTACCTGCATCCAAAATGGGCCACGTGGAGACTTCTGGGAGGGGAGGGGCAGGTGAGGCCAGCCAGTTGATTCAACCACCAGTTCGGCAATCCAGATGTAAATTTAACATCTGGTTCACCCGAAATGGTCCTAATTGGCTGAATCCCACCCCTGTATATGTCTGCAAATACTCCAAACCGACAATTCATTTTCTCTGTGTTTGAATTGAGTTCAGAAAGTTTGAGAGGTGAATTGGCTGAAAGACCCCTAACAATGATATCATTGCAAATTCTTATGAATGAATATATATCAGTCATTAAGATCCATCCCAAATTCTGTTGGTTTGGATTGCAAATTTTCTGGTTTGCTCTTTTGGAAAATCAGCAATAGGTGAAGAGAAAATACAAAGAGAAGGTTTGGAAGGTAAGATAAAAAATTTGATCTTCAGCATATAGTATTTGCAATGACGACGACAAAGCATTCAAACTTGAGAGAGCCACTTGTGAAAGTGCTGGACGAGAAGCAAAGAAGAGGGATGTTGTAGGGTAGGAAGATTCATCATTGTTTATGGAACACCTCCTCTCTCTCTCTCTCTTTCTCACCACAGGAATGCTTCAGGGACGACAGGTCCTCATTCTCTACTCTCCAGATCATGAAGGTTATGAGCGTGTGGTGGGCGTCCTGGCAGATGCACTGACTCAGCTGCAAGCATCTGTATCCCTGGAGTTGTGGAGCCGTGGGGAGTTGGGGTCTCTGGGGCCCATGCAGTGGTTCCATGCACAGCGACATTTGGTCCTTCAAGAAGGCGGAGTTATTGTGCTGCTGTTTTCCCATGGTGCCGTGGCCAGTTGTGCAGAGTGGCTGGGCTGGAAACAAAACTTCCTTCGGTCCGCCGTCAAACCAGACAGCACATTCTTGGCTTCCCTCAACTGCGTCCTGCCTGATTTCCTAGCTGGTGAGGCCAGGGCCACCTACATTGTCAGCTGTTTTGAGGAGCTCCTTCCAGTCAGTGAAATCCCTGAGCTCTTCTGTTCAGTACCTGTCTATCCTCTGCCCTCTCAGCTCTTTAGCTTCCTGCTGGACCTGGCTGGCCCCAGGGTAGGACACCAACAGAGGATCAGCCTCAAGAGACATGCAGGGTGCATCCGCAAAAGCCTGGAACAGGCAGCACATGAATGCCAGCAAAAGTACCCCAGCTAGCAGAACCTGTAATTGTTGCTTTCCCAGCTGGAGGATAGAAAGAGAGAATGCATTCTGTCACCATCCTTGAGGAATAAGATTTTCAGAAGTGAGCTGGTCAAAGTACATCTGAATGTACTGACCTAAAATGTCTATACTAGTTTTCCCAACAAGTCAGAATGGCTGGTCTGTTTCTGTAATTTGGAAAGAGACCTGTGATGGTGTAATAAGACTGGATCATGGATGGGAACTTGTTTTGCATAGCGGTTCAAGTGAGATTCAAGTACCTATTCAAAGTGGAATGGTAGAGATAAGGAGATTGTCATCGTATTACAGAATGGTAACCAGCCAATAATATGAAGAGAGGCCATCAGTAGATCCAGAACAGACGATCTCCAAAGGTGTGGGCCTCTCACCTTCACGCCTTGCTTTGCGCTCCCTTGAAGCAACTGCTTGGCCAGCAAAATGCAATGATGACAAAACCTAGAAATACTCAAATTAGAGTGGTGCAGAGCGCTTCATGAAATTAGCTGCTCGGAGCATCAAGGGAGCCATGTCCTGCAAAGTCCCAGCGTGGCTTGGTTTTGATGGAAAGATCTTCAGGGTAGGCATTTGTATTTCAGAAAGTTAGGAAAACATCTCAGAACGGTGACACTGAACATACAGCTACCTCAGCAAGTTTGGAAGGATGTGTTTATTGGTTTCCAGAAAGTTCCTTCAGATGGTTCGCACAGCCTTTAATTAAAAATGAAAAGGGCTTTGAGTAGGTTATCCACCTTTTATCAGGATCTCATCCTCACATCCTGCTTGCCATAATGTGTACATTACTAAATGTTTTTGAGAGACCTCTGTCACAGGTGCTGAGGTGGCCTAGAATCATCTTTGGTTGTTCCTGTTTGGAAGTGGTGTTTCTCTTCTTCTCCAGACACAAAACTTTCCATGAGGACAATTTAGGATGCATCAGGGAAGAGTTTAGAGATGATTAGTCAATGAGAGTGATTTGCTCAGCTCCAGCTGTCCTGGCAAGTCGGCTCCTTTCCTGCCCAGTAACTGGGCCCTGTACCGCCACTGTACCAGCCATTTTGTCTTGGTTGGAGGACAAACTGGGCACTTGGTCGGTGTGGGGAAAGTTTTCTTTTATTTATTTGGTGGATGTTTTTATTAATGTCTTTTCGATTGTTTGAGTTGTTTTAGAATTGTAAGCCACCCAGAGTCACTTGGTTGAGTTGAGTGGCTATAGAAATTGAATAAAACAAACAGGCAAACAAACTAAGTTTCCTTCAAGAGGGAGAAAGGAAAGCAATCCCAGAGGCACAATAGCTTTGAGAATTCCCTGGTTTCTGGCTTTATATTTCAGATTAGCCCTTTTGCTCATTTAAGGAGATTTTTGGGCAAAGAGGAAGAATTGGCACAGGTCTATTGATCCCCTGTTTCTTTGACAGAAGATGTTCTACAGGTAGCCCTTGACTTACAAACATTCAATTTAGCAACTGTTTGAAGTTACAAAGGAACTGAAAAAAAGTGACTTTTGACCAGTGGTGGGATTCAGCCATTTCGCACCACTTCGGGAAAACCAGTTCTTAAGTTTCTGAGCAGTTTGGTGAACTGGTTGTTGGAAGAAATTATTAGGGCAGAGAACTGGTTGTTAAATTATATGATGACATGGTCGCATGATCAACATTCAGATGCTTGGCAACTGACTCGTATTTATGACGGTTGCAGTGTCCTGGGGTCATGTGATCAACTTTTGTTACCTTCTGACAAGCAAAGTCGACGGGGAAGCCAGATTCACTTAACAACCATATTACTAACTTAATAACTGCAGGGATTCACTTAACAACTATAGCAAGAATGGTCGTAAAATGGGGCAAAACTCAGTTAACAACTGTCCTGCTTAGCAACAGAAATTTTGGGCTCAATTGTGGTCGTATGTCGAGGACTACCTGTACTTTCTTCTATTGCCCTTTACAGCTGAATGACTCTGTGATACACATTAATTAATAACACTGCCATCTAGAGCCGAATTCCTGCAGATGCAGACAATTGATTCAAGACGACAATACTGTAAGCCTCTCAGAAGAAACATGCTGCAAATAAGAATGATTAATACTACCATAAATACATAAATTGTCAAAGGGTAACTTATTCATGTCATAGATGCTCTCATAAAATGACAAGGCAGATGGGTGTGGATAGTCACAAAACACTCATTTATGAGAAAACAAATGGATAAGCTTGTTGTTGTATTTGTAGCTTTCCAGAGTGCTCTGTAGCCTTCTCCTCTTAATCCTGGACTTTTTCTTCTGGGAACTCTTTTCAAACAAAATTCGCCCTTTTTATTTCTTGAGGATGCCTCTGGAGCATTTCTGGGACCTAAAAACATAGTTGAAAAGAAGTTCTATTTGCTCGAGACAGAGATTGTTTTTAGGAAATGCCAGGTGCTCTTTCATTTATTTATTTATTTAAATAAAATCATTTTAAAACTCAGGTGGAGATGACTTATTTTAGTTTCCTCATTCCCTGAAGACATGAACAATAAACTGTAAGACCGATGGATTTTTCCAGAACCAAATGAGCATTTACCGTGTTTCTCCAACAATATGGCCTCCACCAATAGGAAGGCCCAGCATGATTTCTATGCATGAGGTGAAATTAAGCCCCCCCCCAAAAAATTTAGGCCTATTCAAACCATGCTTTTCCCCGCCGTTTCTCACATCGTTCGTTAGAACTACACGAGGTGAAGAGAAATGGGCGGGGGAAGGGCGGGGGGGATGGGGAGAAAACTTGCCTTTAGGAGTGCCCTGCAGGTAGCCCAGGCTAGAATACCCTGATAGCCGATAGAAGCTTCCTGAATACAGAGTTCCCAGCCGCTTCAGGGAGTGGCGTGGCTACCCATGTCCCCTCGCCTTTAGGGCAGTCTCTTTCGGACGATGGAAGCTCCCCAACTGCAGTCACCAGCCACTTCGATCAGCCGGTAGAAGCGGCCTCAGGGCAAGTGCACACACACACACACACACACACACTCCCCTCATTGCGAGGCCGCTTCTATCGGCAGACGAAAGTTCCCTTGAAGGCAGAGTCCCCAGCTGCTTCAGGGCGAGGCGGGGCTGCCTGTGTCCCCTCGTCTTTAGGCAGTCTTTTTCAGGCGATGGAAACTCCCCAAATGCAGTCACCAGCACACACACGCTCCCCTCGCCATGAGGCCGCTTCTACCGGCTGATTGAAGTAGCTGGTGACTGCATTTGGGGAGCTTCCATCACCCGAAAGAGACTGCCTAAAGGTGAGGGGACATGGGCAGCCACGCCTCGCCCTGAAGCGGCTGGGGACTCTGCCTTTGGGGAGCTTTCGTCCGCCGATAGAAGCGGCCTCGTGGCAAGGGGAGTGTGTGTGTGTGTGTGTGCGCTTGCCCCGAGGCTGCTTCTACCGGCTGATCGAAGTGGCTGGTGACTGCACTTGGGGAGCTTCCATCGCCCGAAAGAGACTGCCTAAAGGCGAGGGGACACGGGCAGTCACGCCTCATCCTGAAGCGGCTGGGAACTCTGCCTTCAGGGAGCCTTCGACAGCCAATAGAAGCGGCCTCGCGGCGAGGTATGTGCATATGGGCCGCTCTAGGTGGGGGAGGAAATTAAGTCACCCCCGAAAAGACGGCCTAGCCCTTTTTCAGGGGTCAAAAATAAATAAGGCCCGGCCTTATTTTGTGAGAATCACGGTAGTTATTTCTTTTACATAATTTGAAAGAATACTTTATTCCCAAAGACGTTGGGTACTTGATGTTCTATAAAAACAGGAGCAAGACAAACTATAAAAACAAAGAAAATGTTACAGGGTTCACACTGTGCCCTATCCCAAAGCCTGGGAAAATAGCCAGATTTTTGATACCTTTCAGAACGTTACCAGGGTTGGAGACTCTCTGGAGGATACCTCTACTATTTGGAATGACTGCAGCCTCTTTTCGGGGACATCTTGAGGCGAGGATATAAAAAAATCAAGATATTGAAGCTATACCCCTTTTTATAGGTGTTGTGCAAAAAAGGGGCAGGGATTTGATGACACAGTTGTGACTCTCATCTTTTCACCTTTTTTGACATCCACTCTAACATATGCAGATCGATGCTTCTGCTACACTCTGAAGGGATTAATTAACCCTAATTCCTCTATATATTTATTTTTTCTGTAATTTTTTTTTTATCTTCAGGATGGGATGAAGCAAGTTTGGGTCAAAAGGTTTGTCATCCTTTGTAAGGACATCTACTGGTAGACTTCAACTTTATTTAATTTATTTATTTGATTTGTCAATCGCTTACAAGATAATAGGTATAAGGATAAACATAGTTATGAATACAAGAAATGAGTACATATAAGAAAAATAAAAGAAACAAAAGGACAGGGACAGTAGGCACTTTGGTGCGCTTATACACGCCCCCTACAGACCTCTTAGGAAAGGGGTGAGGTCAATAGTAGACAGTCTAAGGTTCAAGTTTTTGGGGTTTGGGGAAGAAACCACAGAGTCAGGTAGAGTATTCCAGACACTGACCACTCTGTTGCTGAAGTTGTATTTCCTGCAATCAAGTTTAGTGTGGTTAGCCTTGAGTTTGTATCTATTATTTGCTCTTGTATTGTTATAGTTGAAGTATTCATTGACAGGTAGGACATTGCAATGTATAATTTTATATACTATACTTAGATCAGACCCAAGGCGGCATAGTCCTAGGTTTTCTAGGTCTAGAATTTCAAGTCTGGTAGCATAAGGTATTCTGCAACAAGTAGAGGAATGGAGAACTCTTCTTGTGAAATACTTCTGGACTTTCTCAACTGTGTTAGTATCAGACATGTAATGTGGGTTCCAGACTGATGAGCTGTATTGGTCCGGCAAATGTTTTGTAACAACCATAATTGTGGGAGCGCCATCACTTGAGACTTTCAAGATGAGATTGGACTGCCATTTGTTAGAAATGGTGTAGGGTCTCCTGCTTGGATGTGGGGTTGGACTAGATAACCTATAAGGTCCCTTCCAACTCTGATTATCTGTTATCTGTTATAATTAAGTCCATAATTATGGTTGTGTGTTGTGAGGTTGTTAAGGGTCATTATATGACTATGCCCAATTTTATAACCATTTTTAACCATTTTTGCAGCAATTGTTAAGCAAACACTGTGCTCATAAAGCAAACACATCAGTTGTATGTTGGGGAGTTTTTGGCCATGTAAATGCCCATTTCTGACAAAAATGTCATAAATTGTGTTCACATGACTGCAGGACACTGCAAATGGCCTTAAATGCAGGCTGAATGCCGAGAGCCCAAAATGCGGTCATGTGACTGGGAGTAGAACTTCAAATTTGGATCCTAAGTACCTTTCTCAAGGCCCTTTGTAACTGTCCTCTGAACAGTCACTAAGCAACCAGTTATAAGTTGAGTCCTTTCAAACTGGGTTGACTCAGCTCTGTAGCTGCCATCTTGTCTACCATCTCTGTCTGTTATTACAGTGATGGACAAGAGGAACCAGGTTGGAAAAAATTTGGGAAGATTTAAATCCTCCCCAAAAATACAGCCAAAGCTGCTCTGCATACAGAGACGAAGGCAGTGTTTCTCAAAGCACCACTGAAAAATGTGTGGACTTGAACTCCCAGAATTCTCCATCCAGTCATGAGTAGGGAATTCTGGGAATTGAAGTCCACACATCTTCAAATGGCTAAGGTTGAAGAACACTGGGCTAAGAAAAATACATTCCCGCTGATTCTTATTGGCCACTGTCATCCCTGTC